GGAAAAAGATGCACTAGACTTGTGGGTCATAAACACCTGCCAGGATGGCCTGACAGGGCATTTACATGCAGTTTACCCTATTAGCCAGCATGCAGTTTTGAGCACATAGCCTGTAAGATTTTTGAAGGAGACACAAGGATTTACAGATGTGTTCTCTGTCCTGAAGGAAGCAGGTTGGCTGAGGAGACAAGACTAAAGCACCAAGAGAAAAGCGGCGAAGCTTGCATGGTGGCACAGTGAGGGAGGGCTGCTGGAAGAGAGCTGGGCTGCAGATAAAGGAGGAGCCCCGGGAAAGCAGGGCTTTGCACTGCTTTGCACTGAGCCCTGAAGGTGGATAGTATTAGGTAGGATGCAGGGGCAAGGAGAACCCAAGGCTGCAACTGTGATGTTTATCACTTCTCATGTTAGAATGTTGCAGGCACCTGTCTTGGGACTCTTTGCTTTGCAGTCTGCATTCTTCCCTGTGGCTCTATACTAACTAATCTAGCAGGCTAACGATTCTGAAGTCTGTGATTCAAGTCAGGCTTTCCCAGAGTGCCCCACTTTTACCCTGCTTGTTTTTCTGACCTCATCTCTCGCTGTTCTGTCTCAATCTCGTGGACCTTCCAATCCTTCGAACATCTCAAGGTCAACCAAGCCCTGGTCCTTACACCAGCTGCTGCTTCCATCTACAAAGATCCTCCTGGAACCACTTGTGGCTCCCATCTCCTTACTCTCTTCGGGAGAAAAACCTCTTGAGTAAAAATAATAACAGAAAATAAAATCCCTGATTATCTCAATAACAAACACATATTCCCTGCCTTTCTGCTCTCTTCATTTTCTTCATGGGTGCTTATCTGGAATTAAATATTTGCTTCTAAGCTCATAATCTCTTGCTCCACATGCTGTAAGTTTTATGATGACAAATCCTTTTCCCACCGCTTCTTCTCCAAGAGCAAGAATAAGATTTACAGGTGTGTGGCAAGTGATAGATCACATGATGATGGGAAATGAGGACAGAGATTCGGTATGAATGGCAGTTCACAGCAGAGCACAGAGACAGAATTCAGGGGTGAAGGAGACCTCTCAGGACTATTATCCCATCCAGGCAATTTGGATTTTAGAATTTAGATAAGCCCTCCCAGAGAAGGGATCAATCACATGTGCACATGCCAGAATCCTATCAACTGTGGTTATTCTTGAGGGATTTGGTCTAGGACCCCAATAAACACTGAAATCCATGGATGCTGAAGTACCTTGTAAAAAAACAGCGTAGTGTTTACAAATCACCTATATATGTCCTTCTGTTTACTCTATGACATCTCTAGATTACTTACAATGATTAATACATCATACAGCATTATAGAGCATTGTTGGTAGGTACTGGCAAAGAAAAGAATGTCTAGATGTCCATTCGAGATCTAAGTGGTTTTTAAACTTGAATCTACAGATGCAGAACCTGAATTATGTAAGGCTAACTCTATATCCCGAGGGCATGAGACACATTACCATATAGGCAGGAGAAAGTCATTCTTTTCACCAATTTGACAGAAATATTATTAGAACTTGAAGCATAAGAACTGCCGTTCACTGAGCACTGAGTGCCAGAATTTTCTTCTAAGCATGATACACTTATATTATTTCATTCTCATTCTCACAGTTATCACATTATAAAGCAGATGTTGCTGTTCCATTTTATAGATGAGAAAGACTGAGACCCAGTGAGGCCATATGATGCCTAATATGACAACGGCCAAGTGTCAGAGACAAAATTCAAGCAAAAGACATCTTTTAACCAAACATGGTGCTCCTCCAGCCTGACTCATGTCCATGGGAAAAAGCAGTAGTAATATTGAATCAGGGCTGACCTGTGATTTCAGAACAGAGGCATGCTGGAAGGTGCTCTGGGCACGGCACTTCTCAGAGAGTGTGGGCATCAGCAGGAAGAAGGCATCCCCTTTTAGTCTATGTTCCCACGACAGAGAGCAGGGATGGAAAAGAAAGTGTGTGAACTTTGCGATCAAGTGTGTCACCCATAATGCAATACGGGGCAATTCTTCAACCTTGGTGTCGCCCCGTGAGAGCCTTTCCTAGGCCCGTGTGTCTTTCCTTTAGGATGCTTGTCTTTGTTGCCGTTTTTATTGTGCACATAATTTTCCATCATTAAGGACAGTATCTGATTTTATTTCTGATTACCTCACCAGGCATTCTATCAGACCCAAAGGAACGCAATGTCTGGTTACTCATGATGATGATGCTGAAGTTGATTCCCGGGTTAGAGTGGCGGGAAGTAGGCCTCTTCATTGTAAAGCACTCATCTCCCTTTGTGATTAGCAAAATATAAAACTACATGAAGAATAATGTGGAGTATTAATTTGACTGTGTACCCGCGGCAGATATGCTGTAGTTTGTAAAGTCTGGCAGTGTACAGGAAATCACATTCTTGATGCCCCAAATCAGTTCCATCTGAATCTTTCCTGACACCAGACAGGTGTCAAAGACTTCCAAAGCCACTTGGAGATAGCAGTGAACAACCAACCTCAAGAACCAAATATCTGTCAGCTCTATGGTATTAACAACCACTGACAAACTAGTCTCGATTTATTTATAATTAAATTAAAAATTAGTGATTTGATAACTCTGTAACTCCTTCTCCCTGAATTAAAGAAAAGCTTCCCTCACTGGTTTCTGTGGTTACCCCATCTTACATATTCACACCTGAAGATTTGCAGCAAAAACCCACAGATGAAAGAGAACATGCAGTATTTGATATTTTAATTAAAAATAGATTTAAAAAAACAAAAAGGAAAATTTCCATCAACAATGAGGCTATTTGGCTATTGCAAAACACAATCCAACTAAAAAGGCAAGATAAACATTTAATGCTTTCTGGCACATGCCTTGTTATTTTGAAGCTAATTCTACACTCACATCCCTTGGGTATCAGAGGCTCACATAAGGGAAGCCAAGAAGATTCTGCAGTTCTTAAAATGTTCATTCAAATGACGTGTGTATATGTAGTGCACAGCATTACACATATATGCATGCGGATAGATGAGTAAATAGTCTCAGGTGTAAGCATGCATTTCTGTCCTGTTGTGGCCTGCCCAGCTCAGCAATAAATCAACTATGGGAATAGTAGCGGAAATGCCCATCTTGCTGTGTGTCCTCAAATTCTTTTCTTCTATTTCCCAGTCACCTTCTGTTTTCTGTAAATACATTTCAAATGGCTTTTAAAAAGTTGTGTTCTCCCTTATTTTTCTGCTCCCAGACTTTTCTCTCATTTAATTCATATGCATTGTCTTCTATTTCTTAGTTCTCTGAGACTTAAGTTTTTCCACCCTGCCTGGGAAATATTTGCCCAGAGGTAATCTCAGAACAGGTCTTCATATTTTCCAGTGTTCCTTGATGAAGATAGACAATGGGAGACTTCAGTTCAAGCAGTAATGTGACTCTCAGATAAGACCCACTTCACAGCATATCTGTCATTTGTTGCAAGACCCTTTGACCTTCCCTTCCGGCACCATGGCTGGGTTCACTGGTTCCGCACGCATTTCCTCTGCTGGGTTCTCAGATGCCAGTTTTAGCGTCAGCTTTCCTTCTGTGTTCCTGGAAGCAAGTGATTCACTTGTCAGCCTTCACATGGCCTCAGAGTTCTTTTGCTATGTTCTGTGACTGTGAGGGAAACAGAAATCGTGGTGCAAAGACAGCCGGTATGCCAAAAGCCTGTCACACCCTTGAGCTGGCAGTCCTTCCCAAGATACTTCACATGAGTTTTAAAGAAAAAAGTAAAAAAAGGGGGCTTGCCTTCCAGCTTCCCAAATAGTTACGTAGATGTTTTCACAGTTACAAGGAAACAAAATGAGACTTGATACTCAATCGTGGCAGTCCAAACTCTGCACTGAAGGAACGTCTTTCGTTGGGGAATATTATTTTCAAGTGTGTGGCTTTAGTTTACGCTGCATTTGTTTAACTTTGTGAAGTTGTGTTACTGTGCCTGTCTAAAACACCTGATGATCTAATAAAGAGATGAATGGCCAATAACGAGGCAGAAGCAAGGACAGGTGGGGCTGGCAGGCAGAGAGAATAAACAAGAGAAATATGAAAAAAAGAAGATCAAGAAGCGAGGAAAGAGGAGGCCAGCTACCCAGCCAGCCATGGAGTAAGAAGTAAAGAAAGGAATACAGAAGGAAAAAGATAAAAGCCCAGAGGCAAAAGGTAGGTCGGGATAATTTAAGAAAATTAGGCAAGAAATGAGCCAAGCTAAAAACAGGCATTCATAACTAAGAATAAGCCACCGTGTATGATTTATTTGGAGCTGGGTGGTGGGCCCCTCAAAAGCCAAAAGAGTAAAAATTATACAATAGTTTAGACTTGATTTTAATAGGTATAAATCTTTTTTTTTCAGTTCAAATTAAACTTATTTGGAGGCTTGAGAGAGAACATACTCTTAATCACAGCACTCAGGAGACAGAGGCAGATAAAGTTCTGTGAGTTTGAAGTCAGCCTGGTCTACACAACAAGTTCCTGCCAGCAAAACCCACATAGAGAAACTCTAGGTCAAAAAATATATAAGTATATAGATACAGATATATAGATGATAGAGAAAGATAAAGTATAGTTAGTTATAAGTAGTTATGGGTATAGATATAGAAATAGATAGACATAGAGATAGGTGAAACCTATTTTAGCTAGGCCTGGTAGTGCATGCCTGAAATTCCAAAACTCCAGAGGCTAAAAGAGAGGGATGCTGAGCTTCAGGTCCATCTGAGCTACAAAGCAAGACCTTATCACACCACACACACATACACACACACACACACACACACACACACACACTTTCTTCTTCATTAAGCCCGCCAGCCTTTGGAACAAGTCAGTATCCTCCTCGTGTGATTCTCTGCTGCTAGATGTGAATTATTTGGAAACCCTGAGAAGTGAGAAAAGGAAATTTAGTTTCTCAATACTCATGTGACTTTTCTAAAATCCTACTAAGCTACAGCACCCATGTTTTCTCCTGCAGCTCCCTGACTCCCTCTGATCACAACCAGCGATGCCAGCTGACTTTAGAGTTCCTCATGTACTGACTGGCCCATAGCCTATGAACTGGAAGAGTTTTTCAAGGTAAGCCAGAACAATCAGAGTCCTCTCCAAGAATATGAGTTGTATGGAATTCAATAACATGAGCCATTGGCAACAAAGCAGAAAGACTATCAGAAGGTTGGAAATGTTGAGACAGACTGACTAGACCAGATAAAAATCAGTCGTGAGAAAGGAGAAACTTAAAATCCGTTACTATTATAGACTCTTTCTTAGCATCTCTGTTTTAACATATTCTATTCAGATTCACGGCTTATATGCATGTGTGTGTTTCATGGTATCTGAAAGAATTTGATGGTGTTGGTCCATACTCAGGCCAGCACACTATGCTGTTCTAGCTCAAGAAGAAAAGTCCATCCCAATCCAAGACATTCTTTATACCCAGAACATGCCTAAATGTTTCAGATGGAATTCTTTTAATGATGAACACTTTCAATGGGTGTGCAATAGGTATCATTTGGGTAGGAATAAGTAGAAGGACTTTAGAAGTACTCTCAGCTGTATTTAGAAGATCCTAAGGCCTCCAGGCTTCTGGGATTATCCTTCTCTATAAAAGCATGGCCAACGACTTGGTTCGCCATCCCATTTACTGCGAGATGATCAGCTTACTTTTCCAAAAGTGGTCTATTTGTTCTCATCAGCACCCTTCACCTCAGTAAGCTTTACCACTATATTCTCAACCTGGGAAGCAAGCCCTGTGTGCACAAAACAGTGGCATCATGCTAGCGGTGTACTCAGAAATGAGAGACCACCATTCCTAAATATTTCTGGGTTGTTATCCTTGGATCTTCTTTGTATCTTAATCCCAACATTCTTGCTTGCTCCCAAAGTCTCCACCCCTGTCCTCAGCAGTTTCCTATACAAACTTTAAACTTCTTGTTTTACTAAACAGAGAGGCTCAGATGTCTTTATGTTCCACTTCCCCACAGGTCCAATCTCCTGTGAGTATCAGTCAGCAACCATACCAGACCAATCCGTTCATGCATTTTGCTAAAGAAACATCAGTAGAAGCAAAGGGAAGTTGAATTATTAATTGGGGCGGGGGGGGGTTGAGTAGGCACCACTGAAAACATGAGGTTTCAGCAAGGATTTGAGGAAAATTGAGCAGCTAGTTGGCTGAGTTTAACATTATGTCATTGTTACACAATTAGTGCTGTTTGGGTAGGAAATGTACACTGAAGTCTTTGCATAGAGGAGGAGAGAACAGAGCAGCAATTTATGGTTAACTTGTTCAGAAAAAAATAAATTCTTTGTATTGAGTATGCAGGTTTTCTGTGACATTGAGATGGTTTCTAAGTAAAATAATATAAATGAGAGCTCAAGATTATAATACTGAGACTGATGGTAAGGATAGAGACATACTAAAGAGGCTATTCAGCCTCCTAAAGTGAAAAATGGTGGTAGTTTAAACGCAATGTTAGTTCTGTCGAGTGTAAGATGAAGAGGAGACTTACTGAACGAGGTTCCTCTGACTTACTGCTGAGTTATATGAGGAAGATGAGAGAAACAAAGGCGTTTGAGGATTGCAGGCTTTGGATCCCAAGCTTCTAGGAAGATTGGAGAAACACACAGAAAAGGTTATGTGTATAGTAAGCTGGTGACAGTGGAGGAAGAATCTTTGTGTATTTTCCATCGTTACATGCATTATTCCTCTTGTCAGGGTTTCTGTCCTGCCCAATTCCCACAGTCTCTAAATTTGCCAGGAGACTCCTCTTTGTACTACGGCCTATGTGAGAGACTGGGAAACCCACCATGTGGCTTAGCTCATGGCATGCTGGCAGCTGCCAGGAGACATGTTTCTGTACTGCAGCAGCCATGAGAGACATGAGACTAGGAAACAGAGTTTGACTCCATTTTTGTGTGTTTAGAACCTCCTTAAAGCTTTCTCGGATCATATGTGGATGTAGATGCCATATGTTTGGGCATCATTTGTAGGCAGAATTTCTGTCCCATAATCCACTCCTAAATAACTACACAGAGGCATAATATCAACTAGAAATGCTAGGCCAATAGCTCAGGCTTATTACTAGCTAATTATTACATTTAAATTAATCCATATTTCTTATCTATGCTTTGCCACAAGGCTTGGTACCTTTTCTCAGTATGGCATGCCCATGTTGCTTCTCGTTGCATCTGCTCATGACTCCTGACTCTGTCCTTCTTCTTCCCATAATCTCTGTATGGCTCTTCCCCTAACCTTATCCTGTCCAGCTATTGGCTAGTCTGCTTCTTTATTAAACCAATCACAGTGACATATATTCTCACAATGTAAAGGAATATTCCACAGTAGACGATGAAAGACAGGCTGCCATCTGCCTGTCTTTTATTCCTTCTTGCAGCCATACTTTTTGAACTATACTTTATCCATCCCATTTTTCTATACTAGTGAGAAAGTAAATGAAGCTGAACCTGAGGCAAAAAAAAAAGTGTTAAGCAGAATAAAGGCACAGCATACTCATAAGAGAGTGGTCTAAGCTACAAAAGTCCTAGAATCAAACACAGGGGAAAAGCTTCTTGAAACCAGGCTTAGCTGTAATTTCTTGGATCTGAAGCTTAAAAACAAGGCAACAAAAGGAAAATGGAAAAACTGGGCTTCATTAACACAATACTTTTGTGCATCAAATGATACACTGTCAACAGATTGAAGGAAGCCCACAAAATGGGAGAAAATCATTATGTGATTACTGATTAACTTCCTGAATATATAAAATGTCTACAATGCAGCAAAAATTACAACCTGATTAAAAATGATCAAAAGGCTTAAAGAGGCATCTTTTGACAGATACACAAATAATCATTAAACTCATGAAAAGATGCGTGACATCGCTAGTCACTGGGGACGTGTATATCAAACCACAATGTGACGCCACTTCATGCCCACTAGAATGATTGATACTAAAAACAAAAGCAAACCAAACCACAGCAGGAAGCATGGAGAAATTGGATATGTGACATTGCTGGAGGGAGTGCAAAATGATCCAGCTACTGTTTATTACAGTACAGCAATTCCTTGGGAAATTAAATATGATCAGCAATCCCACCTGCAGACGAAGCTAAAGTAATTGAAAGCAAGAATCTGGGCATGTGTTCAACGTTGGTCATAGCAGCATTATTCACAGTCACTAATGTGAAAGCAACTCGGGTATCCACCTCTAGCTGAAAGAGTGTCGTTCAAGGCGGTATATGCATTTGATTCAGCCTTAAGTGGAACTAAACACTGAACCTGGAGACTACTGTGCTTAAGTCAAACAGTCAGGCACAGAAAGACTAACATCATGTGATTTCTCTAATCTGAGGAACCTAGAGAAGTCACCTCACAGAGACACGAAGGAGAATTTTCCACTTGGGCTGGGTAGGGGTAGAATGAGATATTAGTGTTTGATGGGAAGAGATGAAAATTTTGGAAGAGAAACGATGGTAATCATTTTCCAACAATATAAATGTAATTCATGCTGCAAAACTCCAGACTTTAAAATGGTCTGCACATATGCCATATTAAAGGGCTGTCATCCAGCTTGACACAATGCAAAATACCAGTTGTGATTTTTTTCATTAGTCTCACAATCTAAATTAAAATGTGTTAAAATGTGCAAAACCAAGTACTAAGAATATAATAAAGGGAAGGCTCAGCTACTGTGTGAAATGAGGAAAAATTAGAAAAGAAGCAGAAGCACTAGAAAGAGAAAAATAAAACATTATTTATACAAGGCATGATTATGAACATAAAAACCTCTAATGAAACTAACAGAAGATAAGAACCAAAACTAGAATTAATCAATAAAATTAGAAGTGCTTGAACATTTAAAAAGTCTATTGTCATATCTCCTCCAGCAAGTGGTTAGAAGTTAAAACTTAAAAAATATATATATGTTTAAAAGTAGGAAAAATAAAATTGCTGGAATAGTACTTAATAAAAAGAATACACTAGATTCTAAATAAGTCAAAGGCTATGAAACATTAAAAGAAATGAACATGAAATCAAGTATATGGTTCCAAACAAGTATTTGAAGACTAAATATTATGAAGATATCAATTATTTCAGATTGATTTGTGAATTCAATACAGACTATATTAAAATCAGTCACGTTTTGACAGAAACTGACCAGATGACTCTAAAATGAAAGAGAACTAGAAACACTGAGACCTTCCTCTGTGCCCTAAAAGTTTATATAAAGCAATGTTAACTGAGACAGCTTGGTGTACACACAAGGACAAGCAAGTCGGTGGAGGAGAGGAGAGGAGAGGAGCTCAGAGATAAGGCTTTATGCGGGTACTCAGCTCATCTCCTGGGGTACTAAGTCAGTTCAATGGGTCACATGAGACTTTTCAGTCACTGTTTCTGCAACAGTAGGATATGTTTATGTGGGAGAGTAAACATCCTATTTGCTCCATATTCAGTTACTTTGAAGTAGACCATAAACCTAACCATAAAAGCCAGAACTGTAAATTTTCTAGATGAAAACTTAGGAAAATATGTTTGTGACTTGGGGACAAGCCAGTATTTCTTAGAAAGAGTATGAAAGCATTAATAAAATACTAGAAAATTTGGATTTCATCAAAATTAAAAGTTTCTAAAATTCAAATGGCATTAATGTTACAGTTCTACATATAAAAAATCAGCAATTATAAAGAGTTGATGGTGATGGAAGCTATGTAAGTGGTTCCTAGAAGCTGTCTAGCAATCAGGAAAAAGTATTTCCATAATTTCCTATCAAGTAAGTAAAAACGTATTTATAATATATAATAGCAGCAACAGCACACAAAAATAGGCACTGTGAGAGAATCAATTGGAAAAATACTGGAGAAGGAGGTTTGCAATATTTAATAATGTCTTAGCTGTATGTGGCCTGGCTATTCTATTTCTGAGAAACTTTTACAGTTTTTTCAATGTGCACAAATACATCTGTATTAGGCTCTTTATTAGCTTTGACTAAAGCACTTAAAAACACATTTTGATATGGGGCTTATAAATAAATGATTTCATGAGCCATGAAGCAATTATACGGAGCTATATAACTATTGCC